AAAACGTCGGTGACTTTGATGCTTTTTCACCAGGACATTCCCAATATCTCACCATTTCCTTCAATGGTGGTGGACTTGGCGGACACACAATCAGTGGCAAGGGACGGTACCCCTTGCGCTCAACCGATTTTCGATGTATATATTCTTTTAGTCGATCCATGTCTTAATGGTTGTAATTGGCTTACGATTGAGTGAAAAAAGCTTTATACACTCTATATACACTGTCCGGTCGGTGATACGTCGCGACGCGTTTAAGAGAAGCACCGATGTTTCGACTGCTCAACAAAACGTAACTTTTCTACAATAAAGAAAGTGACTCTCCTGCAGTGAGACAAAGAAGTATGAAATCACACTGCGTTCTCACAGTTCTTTCTTTCAAGACCAAGAAGCATTGATAGCGATATTTTTCTGAGAAGAGATCGGTAACATGTCGCAACGCGTTAAGAAAAGCGTCGGCTACTGTTTAGTCAACAAAATGTTATCAATGAGAGGTAGAAGTATGAAATCACACTGCGTTCTCACAGTTCTTTCTTTCAAGGCTAAGAAGCACCGATAACGATATTTTTCTAGGAAGAGACACGTCGCCGATACTGTGACCACACAGTGTAATCTAATAGGGCATAGACAAAGGGACAAAGAAGTCGCAAACGAAATATATAATGGGTCATAAGCACCCGGCATCTCAGTTGGTGCTCTGGAAGATTACCGAATCGATCGCAATAAGAGTAATCGGAAAGTATGGCTGACCATCGTGCGAACGTCGAAGATATAGTGTTCGAGAATATCAGAAACGTGGATCCGGAACACCTCAAACATATTATAGACGAGGTGTTTGAAGAAATGGAAATAGATTTTGAGGAGATAATGGACCAAGAGTCGTCAGACGAAGAAGTATTATCCGACGATACTGGATAAAGCCGATGTACACTGTATTTCCATGCAATGTGTGTCCAATGTGCACATATTGAAAAAACTATTGTGAAGAGTAGTGTGAACAGTATTGTTAACAGTATTGTGAATGTGAAAAGTATGGCTGACTATCGTGCAAACGTCGAGGACATAGCATTATGGG